GCCCCCGCCCTGCTGCCCCGGCGACACTCGCGGGGTGGGCGCCCCAGCCGGGCAGCGGCCCCGGCGGCCCGAAGTGCGGAAGGCGCCGGGTCCGCGCCGGCGGGAGCACGCAGCGCACTGGGGGCGTTCGCCATTGATTGATTGATTGTTGGAATTTTTGAGACCTCTTTATTTTCTCCCGATTTGCAAAGTAAAACAGCATACACGTAACTCAGCAGCTTTGTGAGGCTCCAAAAAGAAGTGTCCTGAACATTAGGTAGGTTAAGTTTGCTTTTAAAAAACCCATGAAACTTTCGTATTTTCTAGTCCCGGCCCCCTCCTCCCCCCGACCTCCCTATAGTCTGGTCTCTGACACATATTCAGGCCACTTGTTTTCCAACCACATCTTTTTTCTTGGTAATGTTTGATCCTTATCTGACAGAAATTGTTACAGATATCACTCAGTGAACGGCTTAGCACTGACCATCGGCTTAAGGTGGAGAAACGATGAGCAGGAGATCGGAAAACGTCGACGTCCCCCGGGCTGACTTCTCACGTTCAGCTGGGAGCGGTGCACGGGGTCGGTTACAACTTCTACTCAGAGCCCTTGTGGCCTTCTGTTTTACTTTTACTTCATTGTTGCTTCACAATTATTGAGAACATACTTCAAGGTGATTCACTATGGCTGATCTTTTTGAATCGCTAATGTTTATTCTGGAGAATAATTTCAGTTCAGCAACGCTACAGGAGGTTCTCAGTAAGGTCTGCCAGGAAGAGTTGGGCAGACCAATGAATACAGTGCTCCCGGTTCATTTCAAATAGCCCCCCACATATTACGCAATTAGAATACCCAAGCGTTACAGACATCTTTACTCCACACCTTAAAAAGGGAAATTTAGGGGTTAACTTTAAGTCTTTAAGAGACTCCCAGAGTTGGAGTTAACATTTTTCTTTCAAATTTGTACTACAAATTTGTATACAAATTTGAACTACCTTAATAAGAAAAGTCATCACTGCAAACGGAATAAGTTATTTTATTACAAGAACAAAACAGACTTGCTAATTTTATGTCTAATTTCACCCATATTACAAATGCAAAGTATATATTATCATAGGATGTAGGTTACTGAACTCCAAAATATTGTGCATAAGTGAAATAAACTCAACTTGCAGAATTAGAACATTAAAGTATCTACAGTCATTATAAATAGTGCAAAGTATATACCGTATCTACAGTGCAGGGGGAGAGTATAAACATGTGAAAATGAGCTTCTTAAGGAACAGTTAGAACATTTGTTTGAACAATTTAAAATATTAACAAGGGTACTCAAATACAGAACTAACCAAGTCATTTATTTTTTCTCTTTTTTTAAAAAAAACTGTCGAGCTTCTTCCCAGGCTGCCTGAGGAAATCTGTTAGCCAGCTCGAGATAGTCTTGGGAACCAAGGGATTTTCCTGAGAGGAAAAAAAGAAAATAGTTAAATTCTTTGAAGTTTAAGCAACTGAAATTATTTTGGTATCAGACTACAGAATGGAGACATGCACTTCAAATAAACCATGATGTAAGTTTATATAAAGAAGGTAACTGATCTATCTATATCTACCTACAGCATAATATATATGCACATTTTAATCACAATTTGTGATTGCTTCTAACATATTCAGATATTAACCCCTCTGTAAAACATTACAAAAAATGGATTTTGGATTCCAGAATAAGAAAATAGGGGAAATAAGTACGGTGAACAAAATAAAATGACAGATATTCCATTCTTAAGATAGGCTTGAAATGGTAAATCTGTATGTGAACTTGACGTTTGTCTCCTAAAATAGTCTAATTTAAAATATTTTAAGTATAACTTTATAAAAAAGCTCAAAACTGGCATTCAGTCATCCAACAAAGCAGAGGGAATGAGTCAGAACTTTATTGGTTATTGATGTAGGCAAAGAAAACAGTCTCCTACTGGGCAGTGATCAAGCAATGAGTATTTGAACACCAGAAGTCTTCTTCAGCAATAAGAATGTGGTGCTACCAGGAGCTACTTTACACTTACAGTGCAGAGCTTCACCTGGGCCATGAACTCAAAATGCCTTGAAACATTTTATGGGGACTAAATCTAAGCAAAAGGGGAACAGACGTCCGAAGTGCAGACTGGCCCTTAGTGTGGCATAATCGTTTCTTTTAAACCAAGTAAGCATATCAGGAGTTGTCACCAATATAACGATGACCCTTTCTGACAAATGCAGAGAACACGGCCCATTTGCTGTATTGTGGATTAAGCCCAGTGTAATTGGGGGAAGCATGGACGTCAGAGAAGATGGGCCCTTGGAAAAGAAAGTAAGTTGAAACTCCCACAGGCCTCAGCCCACCAAGCAGACCGAGGCAGCTCTTGGGACTCTGCCTGCCAGACATGTAGCCAATGGTGACTCATCCTTACAGCCAGGAGAAAGGAAGAAAAAAGAATGTCTATACTTCTTACTGGCAAAAAAAAATTTCTGTACAATTAAAAATGAATACATTAGAAGATTTTTCAAGACATTCTCATATATTCAAAATTTAAGACATTGTTTTATAAGAAATAGTAACAAATTATACTGATTTCTCCCACATAGCCTCCAATAGCTTAAAAAAAAAAAGGCTGTGAGTAAATCAGGGCAGACCTGAACTTGCACACTAATTCTGGCTTAGACAAATGATACCGACAGTGATGTTGACTGGAATTTCTGAAAAGGGCCATAGCTTTCTGTTTACTTCTCTGAATGCCTGAATCAATAAAACATGACATTTTTTCATGATATTGTTACAGCTTTATATTCTTTTCTGTATACTTTTCAACACCTGCCCCCTATAGATAATTGGGGCCCGCGTGCATGCGTGCTTGTGTCCAAGGTGACTCCCCACCCCTCCAAGTAAGGGCTAATTGGTGGGTGCCCTAGAGGGTCCTGCTGGGAGTGGGCCTCTAACCACTTTAAAGACTATCACACTAATGGAAGAATTGGGGAAAATCTGTATTAGGGTCCCATTAATCAGAGATGCTGTCCTGACAGTCAGACAAAGAGCAACTTGTACTTCTCAATTACAGTGTGTATAGAATATTTAAAAAAGTAAAAATGCACTTTAAAATTCTACATCTCCAGCTCTGATCATAGGAAACACCTCAGCAGGAACACTAAAGGAAAAACAACACTTGTAAATCTTTTGGTCTCTGAACTCTTTTTTTATTTTATTTTTTATTTAAAAAAAATTTTTTTTTTTTTTTAAATTTATTTGACAGAGAGAGACACAGCGAAAGAGGGAACACAAGCGGGGGAGAGGGAGAGGGAGAAGCAGACTCCCAGCTGAGCAGGGAGCCCGATGCGGGGCTTGATCCCAGGACCCTGGGATCATGACCTGAGCCAAAGGCAGACGCTTAACGACTGAGCCACCCAGGCACCCCAGGCCTCTGAACTCTTGCTAATCTGATGGCTTTTTCTCCAAGTAAAACAATTTTATACTTTTTATTTTCAATAAAAAAATTCAAGTACTTGAATTTAGGGGGGAAAATATGGGCTACTATCATTAATAATTTTATTCTGAACACAGGAAACCAAACTGATGTGATTTTAGCATTTATGTGAGGGAATGTAGGCCATGTAGAATTATCTGCTTGTCTCCTGTATTATGAAGCGGCTCTTCAGTAATTATTCACCATTTATTGTATGTTGCATGAGGTGAATATTATACTCCACAGTGAAGAGCAAATTACATAAAGATGTTTTGTGCTTTTCTTTTACTTCCATAGATTTCTCTGTCTATTCTGATGCATTCATGCTTGATGACAAAATCTGTTTCTTTACTCATTGAAATATACTTGATATCCGGATCTCAAATGTTTTAGGTGATGTAATAAATTGATTTCTGTAACAGCTCCAGAGGGTGGAGTTAGAAACATGTCTGTTTGGCTAACAAACACACGACATTTCATTTCAATAGAGACGTACCTTTGGGCTGATAAGACTGGTTATCTGCCTGGCCTGGAGTCTGTACAAAATCCTGTGTGAGACAAGAGAAGTGTTTTTATACCAAGGCTAGGAACAGAGAATTTCGCTGAGGGCAGCTTTAAATATGCTTCTGAATTCTGAGACAACTATCTTTGCATATTCGAATACTTTGGAGCCCAAATATAAAAGCTTAAGAAGTTATGTTCAGGTTCTCTTAATTTAAATCAAATAGTGATGACTCACGGATCAGCAGGGACTATGGTGCTATCTACTGGAGAAACTACAACTTTATTTCAGCTAACAAACTGAAGGCTTTAGCCAGATTTATTATCCTAAAATATTGACAGGTTTTTAACATTTTTTAAAAAAGCATAATTCTAAAAGCCCTTATGTATTCTGCAGCTAAATCTTAAAAGTCGAGTAATTTTACTTTTAGATGGAAAGTGAAAAATATTGTACATAATATGTAAATTTTCAGAAACCTATGACAAACCACCGGCTCCTATTTTTAGTATCATTTTCTAGTGACTATTAATAATCTAACACATGGGAACCTCCAAGAACCATTCTATAAACTAAAATCTAATATATATTCTTTCCCCTGATAATAATTACTTATAGAAAAAAAAGCCTGAATCAATTTCACTAATCTAAGAAGCTATCCCAAATAAGAAATTTCTGTAACATGTACAAAATGTGTGCATCCAAACGTATGTTAAATGTGTTACATTAAATTACATTTAAATGTGTTGTTAGAAATACTTTAAGAACAATACGAGATGAAAACAAGTAATATATATGTTCTTTACTTTAGATTCTGATATCATTTGTATTTTTATAAATTGTTTTCCAAGCAGCTGAAAATGTAAGGGACTAAGTTGGTACAGAAGCAAGACTGTCTTTCCTCAACCATCACTGTCTTGGGTGAGGCCTCTCTGCTCATCACCCCCTGGCAGTCCCTATCCCTCTTCCCTGACTTACTTTTCTGCACAGCGCTTAACGCCATCTGTTGTTTGACTTATTTTTGTTTGTCTGACTCTTCCTACTTTAATGGAAGATCTATAAAGGCAGGAATTTTCATCTGCTTTTTTGATTGCTGTATTCCCAGTGCCCAGAGTAGTGCCCACTACACCAAGGCACTCAAAAATTACCTGCTGAATAAGAGAATGAATTTTAAGATCACAGTCTTAAAAATCCTCTATACTGTATTTTCTATTTAATTTTTAATCATAAGGCTTTAAGAATATGAGAATTCTTAAATGTTGATATGATGGTTATGCAAGACTTTATTAGGATTTTAATTTAACCATAAGATTTTTTAAAAAAAATCCATACCCTCCCTGTGGATCTGAGTATCTTTGAAAAAATTTTCAGAAAATAGAACCCAGACTCAAAGAGAACAACTAAGTTGAAAGTAGACATTTCTAAACACAACTGATCTAGTTGTGTTTATTAACTGATCACCTAATAGAGGATAGTTTAAAAAATGTAAACCACTAACTACTATCTAAGGTGAAGAAAGCTTGACTCTTTAGCCATCCCAACCAGCCGGGCAGGATCGCATCCTTTCAACAATGATATATGTATATTAGCCAGAATAAGGAACAACACTAATACAGAGCTCAGCTTTCTGTTTCATTATTACGAACAGAAAACACTGTCTGTTAATCACATGTATGTCATGGAACAAAAACACACTGGTTTTTATGGTAGAACGTTTCAAAGAAAATGGAAGATTTTCAGCAACTCAGGATTAACTATTAGCAACTGTTAAAGAATAGCCAACTTGATTTTCTATTGTTAGTTGACTGAGTTAATTTAGATATGGAAACATTGCTTTACTTTGCTACAGTGCTAATTCTGATTCCCGTCCTATAGACTTGAGCTGGATCAGAAAAATATAAGGCCATTCTTACAAGTGTTAGAGCTTTTTACAAAGCAATATAACAGGATTTTATTACACATACACACATGTGCGTATGAATCATACTTATTTAAAAACTTACAAATCAACTGAAGTTTTACTTGATCTTTCTTCTGCAATCCTTATCTATTCCCTGTAGCTAGACTAAAAGCTAGATGAATGTAAATGCTAAAGCCTTAAAGAAGTCTGGCCATCTTTTTAAAAACATTTCCTTGGTATGGGTTTACCATTTTGTCAACTGGAAAAATATCCTTTTCTTGAAATCCTCCAAGTAGAAGTTATACAACACTCAACCCCAGTTTTACTATCCTCATATTTTAGAAATTAATTTTCAAGCACAGAAATATGTGCAAAATTTAAGAGATACTGTGGATGGCAAGAATAAACAGCTGGTTCACTTTTACTTTTCAACTGCATTAGCTTACACATAAAGCCAGAGGATCAGGCATAAGACAGAAGGTACCTGAATGAATGTGGCCAGTAAAACACAGCTCATCTCTTGCTCCAGAATGATCTTGTTCTGACGGTTGTTGTAACAAGCAGCGATAAGTGAAGGGAAGAGCACTTTGATCAGCCGTGGGTCACTGAAATATTGGAAGGGCAGTTGGCAGAGCTTCTGCAGCACCGTGGGGTGGCGGCCAGACTGTACGATTACCTGAAACAGGAGCGAACCTAGGTCAACAGCCAGAAAGCCGGCCCGCCCTTCCTCCTGCATCCCCCAACAGTGTCTAGGAGAACCATGGAGAACAGGCAGAAGGTGTGTAAGGAGAGAGAGAGAAAAAAAAGAGAGACTTCCAACTCCTAAGCGATATTTGAAAGGAACAGAAAGTAAAGAAATCTCATTTCCTAACTTAAGGAAAAGATCCCCAAAGTTCTGCAGCCATTTATACTCCACAGTGAAGAGCAAGGCTGCCATGGAGAGAGGATACCTCTGAAATGGATTCAAGATGCACCACTGCTTTAACTAAGCGCCCGCCCCCACCCTCCCCCTTAAAGCTGAGCAGCCCTATGCCCTGAAACCTGCAAAGAGCTCGCTCAGAAGAATGATCCCTCTTTTACCTAGCCTCTGCCCACTGCAGTCCTCCCTTAACCTAGCTCCTGACAGACCTCTTCAGTATGCAGATGAGCCCTTGGAAAGAAAAGGGGACTGACTGTAAGGGGAGTGGGAAGTTTCAGCAGGCACAGGCTCCAAAAGATCCTTCCCCTGATCCAAACTCTTTATCTGTGTTTCCATCAGTGCCATTGAGTCTAAAAGGAGAATTGTTTAGATAAATGAGACTCTTGTCTTGAAGCAGTCTAGGTTTACAACTGTGTACATTTTAAGAAATGGGGCAGTACAATTAATGGGCTTGCAGGGAAGCCCTCCTAATTTACTCCCTAGGCCTACATGATAAACTAAGAAATGTCAAAATCAGGTCTGCTTCAAGTAACCTTGATTAGACGGTTCTAATACGAAAGAGCTGGGTGACCCAAAGCCCACTTCTTGGTATAAGAAGAAGCTCACAGAAAGTTAGGAACACTGTAAAATCTAAGGTCAGGACTGTAAATTGTACTTGGAAAAACATAATTTTACAGGTACACACCCAGACAGGACTGCATTCAAATTAAAACCAGAAGGACAGAATGAAACAGCAGAGGCAGGAGAAACATAAATTACAGGGATTTACAAGTTTTCAAAGTACTTTTAACAATACTTTAAGAACACACTCTCAGATGATAATGCAGTTTGGTCTAAGAACAAAATCAACAAAGTAATAGTTCACATATTTTAGTTCAATAGCTAAAATGACATCAAAAACCTTTAGAGAATGTTGATAGGGACTTGTTAATACCTTCAAATCCAGCAGGAATTTTAAAGACTCACAGTGTGACAATTCAGCACATGGCTATGTGCTGCCATTTCTGACCACTGGCTGAGAAAAATATGTCCCATCATCTATTTTATTGATAAAGCATTTACTTAAAGCTTTATTTTAATTATTAGCTACAAATTTTGTAGCACAGCCAAATGACCACCACTTTAGAATTTATAATGATACCATTATTCCAAGTCTCTTTTCCCCCTTGTCCAAAAATGAAGCAGAAGTTCTTTTCTTTGGAACTTCATTGTTAAAATGCTATTATTGGAAGATTCACTAATTGAAAAGATATTAAACTGGCCAGTCTGGCTGGCATGGGCACAATGTTAACTCGAAGACGACAACTCCTGGTTCCTGGTAAACGAGCACAAAACGTGCAAGCTTAACGAGAACTTCCTCCACCTGGACTCCTGACCCTCACTGGGCTGCAGGAGAGCCCCTCAGGGGCCTGTCAGTCCCCTCCAGGAATGGAGCTGGCTCTCCCGTGCTTGTTGAAGGAGTGAGTTTACAGAGGTCACCAGCAGTGTCGTGAGACCACCTGCCAGAGGCCACTACTTTTAAGTCCCTGTGGTGCAGAAGACACAAATGGATGTAGGAAGTTTGGTCACCTTGGGTAGGGTGTTCTACCCACAGGACCACCCAGGATAGAACTTAATCAGGGTACAGGTAAGGGGTCTGCCAGGGGTGCTAAGAGCCACACCCCCTGGCTGGGCTGTGAGCCAGTGGGACATCTCGTTGGCACTGTCCTTAGAACCACATTTCAGGCATTGTGGGAAGATAGGCTTAGGAAGTCTAGGAGGGGGCCAACCTGTAGCACTGAGACTTGGTGGGCGAGACCACTCCTGGATAATTAAGGGGGGTTTTGGTACAGGGGGATGGCATTTTGCTGTCAATGAGCACAGCGGGGTGGTCAGCTGCGGTAGGCTCAGCACTTCCCACAGGGGCAGGGAAGAAAGGCTGGCGCGCGGAGAGCATCACCTTGCCGCCCAGGGCCTTGTGTGCCTGGACAGAGTTGCCTGAGAGGCTGTGGACAGATCAGGGGCTGAGGGCAGGGCTCAGGTTTATTTCATCAAGTCACTGGCTCCCAGGCCTTGGGGTAGTCAAGTGTCACCATGAGCTGCTCCAGCTTTCCAAAGTCAATAGAGAGTCATTGTGGAATATGAAAGTCTTGGCGAATGAATGAAATGGAAATAGTTAAGAAAAATCTCAGATTTACAATGTTTTCTCTCTCTATGCCTTCCTGGTGGAGCTGTAGCTAAGTCAGTAACTATTGGTCTGTCACCTTTCTCCAGACAAGTGGCTGCTGAAAAGGCCTAAGGTGAGCACCACCCTGAGTCTGGCCAGGCCACCTGCCCTTCCTTTCAGGGCATACAGGCCAACACATCCCCAGAGGGGCTTCCCACAGAGCTCCTTTTCAGACCAGTGCCCCAAGAGAAAGGAGGTGCCTGGCTGTAGATTTCTTTGGGGGTCATAGTCATCAGTTAGATAGCATGTAGGGAGCTGGTATGGGTCCATAATAATGAGAAGACACCCCCCCCATATGATGTGCACTTCCAGATGCAGATTAGGGCTCCAAGGAAACCAGGGGAATTGCCAGCAACATTCACATTAAAAGAAATTGAAATTCAACTTTCCACTTGCTCTTAGGTGCAATTTTAAAATAGGTACTAAGTAAAGAGCTGGGAGGGCTGGGTTCCTGCCTTTACTCTGGGCACCAGCTCGCTGTGTAACCCTGGGAAAATGGTTCAATTTCTCTGGGTTTCAAGGTGGAGAATTTTTTCAAAAGTAAACTTTTCACCAAAGTATAACATACATGCACCTCTCAAGTGAATCGCTCAATTTTTATTAAGTGAATATATACCCAAATAAAGAAAGAGAATATGACCAAGGGTGTTGGATCTTTAAATATATTCCTTCTCACTCAAAATTAGATTCCTAGACTTTGAATTTAAGACAAATCATACAGAAACTATTTGGCTGTACTAGAACATAAGAGAGAGTTACTATACACAGCATGGGTCCCTCCTCTGGTCTTCTCAGCAGAGGCCAGTGGGCATAATTCCATCATCAAGGAAGGACATCTTTTACCCAAATGCCCTGGTATTCACCACTTTTTTCTTCATTATAATTGACAAGGGATTGGGGGAATGAAGGAGGGGGAGGGACCCCCCCCCCACTCCCTCTCCGTTTTGGAACTATCAACAGTTCTGGGAAGAAGAGGCTTTAAAAGAAGGAAAGTTACATGCTGCCAATGTGTGCTACAGCCTGGTGGAGGGCCAGGAAGATCTGAATGCTAGTGTTAAGAAGGAATCTAGTAAAAAAAAAAAATTCTTTTTTAAAGGAATCTGGACCAGACAAGTGGATGTGCTGATTCTTTCATCTGCCGACCTCTGGCCACTCACCAGCTCCAATCTTTGTGCATTCTACAAAGTAGAGCGTATAGGTAAAGTATAACTTGGTGCAGTGAGAGAGAGTCAGGAGAGAACTCTAAATTCAGTGGACATTTAGTGAGTGCCTCCTACGCTCAGTGCTATAGGAACACAGAGAGAATCCATGCTTTAGCTCTCAGGGAGCGGAGGTATGTACACAAATGACAGACTAATACAAAGGAGACTGGCTCATCAGACAGGGAAGGACAAAGGATTAGGGGACCCCGTGGGAGGGAAGGGTTACTCCTTAGGTGAATGTGGAAGGCTGCACTGAGAAGGTGGGTTGGACCTTCAGGGCCAATCAGTGGAGGAATTTTAGGTGGAGAGAAGCTCCCAGATTCAAATACCAGCCTGTTTTAGTCTATTCAGGCTGCCATAACAAAATACCATAGACTGGGTGGCTTAAACAACGGAAATTTATTTTCTTACAGTTCTGGAGCCTGAAAGCCTAAGATCAGGGTGCTAGCATGGTCGATGAGTGCTCTCTTCCTGGTGTGCAGACCAATACCTCCATGAGTCCTTGCCTCACTGAGTGCACACGAAAAGAGAGAGCTCTCTTCCTAGTCTTTTTTTTTTTTTT